CCCCAAAACCCCAAAACCCCAAAACCCCAAAACCCCAAAACCCCAAAACCCCTTAATTCTAGAATCTATTGAAGATAATTTTTATATGAAATCTAGCCCAAGCATTTTGGCTCTCTTACGTTTGATGATTCTACTCGCTCTTTTGAGAGCTCCTAGGGGAGAGAATGGCTCTCCTGAGAGAGGCACTGCTAAGCTTCACTCCCTACTTGTAGGTCTGAGCTGCATTACATGGCTTTTCCTAGACTTAACGATTGATTTTGATTCTCTTCTCTTAACAGTTTCATAATCAGCAGGTCCTGGAGTCTGAGGAATATCCTTAAGAATACTTTTAATATCCTTTCCAAATGAGACATTCATGAACTTAGTGCACTTGACCGCTTTCTCATTCAAAGTATACTGAGTTGGAGGTGGATTTGGACTTTTATTTATCTACGGGTAATTTAAGAATCTTACCAAAATAACTCTTCTCTCGTCTCTTTAACGAGTATTTCGGAGCAGATTTTTTCAGAGTTAGGATATCGTTGTAGAATCCTGGCCCTGGAGCAGTCCAGTTGAACACTTTAATGTCCTTATTGATATCTCACTAATTTTGAATATGCTAAATTACTGTTTTTCTTTCATCATAAGTGATTCCAAATGTTCATTTTATTTTTCTTCGATTTTTCTTCTGTCTTTTTGAAGTGATATCATAGCAGCCTAGAAGAGTCAGGACTTAAAAGAAAATCTTACCAGGTCCAGGGTTATTGTTCATAGCTTTGAAAGTGAATTTATTTCCGTGTCCAAAGGAAGATGCCTAGTTGATAAGCCTGAGGAACTTACAATGTTGGAGCCCATTTTATTGGACACGTTAGTAAACTCAACTTTAGCACCGCCTGTGCCTGCACTTAAAAATCTCTGTCCCTTTGTAAAAGATTGGGGGATGATACTGTTCCTAAGAGTATTCGCTGAACAATATTTGGCTGGATTCTGGACAAAAATAACGCATAGTTGTTGAAACCCTTACCTGTAGATATTTATTTAAAAGAAGTATAACTTTTGCCTTTACTAAGCCTATCAGCAGAGAATTTCCGAGTCCTAGAGATAACCATGGTCAAAGGCTTACCTTCTGTCTGCAGTTTTAGCCCTCTTTTTGAACTGGTATTCCATGAAATATTTTCAAAAATATATTTCTTTTGTGGGGTTTTGGGGTTTTGGGGTTTTGGGGTTTTGGGG